CATAAAATCACTCATGCTCTGCAAGGAGCTGGTCTACTCATCTGGCACAGAACTCCCGCGCGCAAAAGCAGTTTGGAAGAATGAGCTGGAACGCAACAGTTTGTATTGTGAAACCCCAGATATCTTTGATATTTACATCTGCTGGCCCCAAATCTCTGCTCTGCACCCCTTTTCCCAGGCCCTGTCCCTGGCAGGAGCTCAGCACACAGTGGCACTGATGTGCAGGGCCAGGCAGATGCCAAAGCACGGCGGGCACGGAGAGATCCGGAGCATCGGAGCACGCAAACCTTCCAGCCAGCAGGCACCACCAGGAGCAGTGACCTGCAGGGACAGGGAGCATGGAACTGTGTTCTTTCACAGTTATTCAGGGATGTTTCATCCACTTCTTTATTAGTATTCCACCCTAAACACACACTGAAGCAACTGGATGCTAGGGAAGGATGGACTTAACAGAGCATTCATTTTTTTTTTAATATTTTTTCGTCCTCAGCACCTAGGCTGTTTCAAATTAAGGAGAATCCGGCTTCAGGAGTCGGTGCTATTTTAATCATTCCAATGTGTCCAGTACAGGAGATGAACTCAAAAGGTGAATATTAAAAGTAGTTGTGGAATTCAGTCATTTCACGAATGAACACATAATAGCCAAAGGCAAAACCGGAAGGCAACTTCACTTCCAATCAGTGTTTTCATTTTATTGAAACCAGATTGGAATTCCTGGAAAGAAGCCTACATATCACATCTTTAATACTAATTTTCATATACTCCAGTAAAACTGTCAGGGTGAATCAGTTGTTGAAGAAAGCTTCCTGTATAATTTACAGATGTACCTCCCCGTAGCCTGCGATCCCGTCCTGAATCAGAAATGTGGTTTTGATCACGCTCACAGATTTCCTCTCACCTGTGCAGGTTTGCCTCGGCTCTAATTTGATTATTAAAATGGGATGTTTTATGGCAAAGCTGGTGATAAAAGTGAGCCAGCTGCTGTGTACCAGCCAGGCTTTCCTCACGTGCAGCTGTACATCCCCACATACCCCTCGCAGAGGAGCTGCACGTCTGAACACAGACACACAACCCCAAATCCATCTTCCCAGCATGGAGCAACCCCAGGAAACCGAACCAGTCGGTCTTCTTGATGCAAACACCTCCCAAAAAACCATCAAAGAATCGATAAGTGGCATTTCCAAGGGGAGATAACTCCAGCCCTTGGATGGAGGCTGTAAGAGCCTTTCCTCCTAAGCCCCAGCACAAACCCAGTGCTGTGTGTTTGAAGCGGGGGCCAGCGGGGCTGGGTGGCCACCAGCCACAGAGGCCGCTCCGTTTTGCACTGATAGCTGCTCTTTTTTGTTTCCCCACGAGCAGCCAGGCTGCCAAATCCTCCTGCCAAATCCCTTCCCTGCAAGCTCCAAGAAGAAAAGAGGGTGAGAACACTCGGGGGCTCCCCCCTGTGTGTTAATTCTCTCAAGTGCTGCATTATTCCCCCACTGAGAAGGAGGGATGGGGTCAGCAGTGGGATGTGGGGTTCTTGTAGGGTGGCTCCAGTTTTAGGAAGTGTCAGCACTTCCATTAAAGCTCCATTAATCTGGGGTTTGTAACTCATCTCTAAAAAATTTGCTCAGGCTGCAGGAACTTGGCAAACAAGGAGTGTGTTGTGGATTTTTGCTGTTATCCCCCCTCAGTTGTTAAAAAATCCATGGTTTGGCTGCTTCTGAAGCATCTTTTGACACGTGTATAAAATGTTTATTAGTTTTAGACATGTTTGGGCTTGTAAAACTCAAAATTATATTCATTATTAAAAAATGAAATTTAAGGAAGCTGGAGGGCATCCCCAGAGACTTTGACACAAATCCTGACAAGGCCATGTTTATAAATAAGAGTTTCCTTGTCCCAGACCTGTCTCACCCATGTACTTCACAAAACTGGGGACACTGCACTGGCACAGGGGAAATTCTTTGGGAAAAGTGAGGCAGCACCAGGTGAGTTGGTGAAGCCATGGACAGGAGGTGGTGGTGCATCCCAGCCTGCTCCAAAACTGGGAAAAGAGCCCCCGACCCCCTCTTCATACTCCAACATCACAGCATCCAGCCACAGGTGATAGAAAAATCTGAGCAGGACGTTGAAATCTGGTATTAAATATTGCAGTCTGCACTTAAACAATCTAATTGTGGGGGAGGGAGGAGAGAAAGTGCAGGAAAATAGCTGAGGAGCCAGTGGCTAACCAGCCAAATATCACATACAACATGTTCCTTCAGCCAAAACCTCAATTTGGCTTTTTGGGGTGAAGATATGTTGTGTTCTGGCACTGGGAGTGGGGTAGTAGTGCCCTGGCATCCAGCTCCCAGCACCTCAAAACAGCAGGATGCTGAACAACCCCGCCCCAAAATAAACCAGAATATACCAAATCCAACTTCTCTTTGCATTTGAATTTCTGCCAGCACCATCTATTTCAACCCTTGATGCTTTTTGGGTTTTGTTCCAAAACATAGGATGATTTTCTTCTTTTCAGTATTAAAAAAAGTGCTTTAAAAATGTAGCAGCACAAGTGGGTTAATGCATGAGCCTCTCACCTCCAGAGATGTGGTTTCAAAGTCTGGTTGGGCTGTCACATCACGGGCTCAGGGCTCCCTGGCACGTCTGGCTGCAGCCATTCCATCACTGGGATGAAGGGATGGATTATCACAGGACAAGGCTGCAGCACAATGCAAGAAATGAGGTTAGGAATTACATAAACCTGGAATTTCCCAGTTAGACTCAGCTCTTTCTCCAGCTAACAGCAGCATCCATGTATTTGAAGTATATGGAAGTTGGGTGGAGGTGTTGTTTGCTTGACATCCTGATGGGATTGGGATTTTAAAAACACACATTTAGGTCTGTTCTGCCAGCAAAGCATGTAAACACACCCTGAGCTTCAAGGCTATGCTTAAAAAAATGATATCTGATATATTTTAAATATTTATTGCTCATGTTGCATAATTAACTTTGAAAGGTGACGATTTTAAGGAGGCTGAGGCCCAGAGTTGTGCCTACACCTGGAGTTTGGGGTGTTGTGGAAGAAACTGTCTGAGCACCAAGGGTGCATCTCTGCACTCCCAGCCAATAACAATAATCCATCTTTCCCTCTGGAGCTCTTCCCTGCAGGGTGGGATGAAAGTCCCAGTAGGTATCCAGCACTCCCTATGGAATGGGAAAAAAAAAATATATATATATTGTTTACTTCTGTTGTGACAGAGAAAAACAAGAATTTTTAGCATCCCCAGACAATTATCAGGCTTGTCTCTCATTGCCTGATTCTGCCTTTTCCCAAACCCAGACTTACAGATTGATCCCAAGGGATTGCTTCCTCTAGAGTCCTCCAGACATTCCTCTAGAGTTCCTCCTTGAAAAGTCCAACCCAAACCCCAATTTTCCTACTCATGCTTCTAATTAAAATATCCCCATATCTAGCCTGCATCAACCATATTCTTATTCTGCATTGCTGCCATCCCTCTGAACAGCTCTTCCTCAGGATTTTCAGACCTGTATGAGTGGAAAATTGCCCTTTCCAGCACCTCTTTTTTTCAGTGTTGCAGCAGCATCAGCTATGAGCAGCTCTCAGTGAATGGATAGAAACTAAAATTAAAATTATAGTACATGAGGAAAAACCCCATCAAACCCAAATCCTTCAAAAGGCACAGACTTGGAAATTTGCCTTAAACAAGGAAAAAGGTAAATACTGATTTAAATGTCTGTTAAATGCAACTGGAAGTATTTTGTTTCCCAAATTTCCCATTGCAATCTGTGAGATTTCTCTGTGTTTGATCTCTTTTCATACACTTTTCCTCCTCAGCAGGTTCCATCATTTCCCAACAGCCCTGAGTGGGTGGATGGTCCCTCCAACCTCACAGAACAACTATTTCCTTTTTGGTTTTGCTGAACTATGTCACAGATCAAATATGTCACAACTGCATTTCAAACGATAAAGATTTTTTGTCTCTGTCTCCCTTAAAATTTACACAAAGTGATATGAAACTTTTCAACTTTTTTTCTGTGGGTGATACTGAGTTATCAGTGTCCAGTCCACAATCCCCTGAGGAAGGCAGGGACATCTCCAGCAGCAATCCAAGGGCATTGGGTGAGCACAGCCCTAAAGACCTTCTGAAGTAACCAGAATAAAAGAAGAAACAAGAATATTTCAGTATAATAATGCAGAAATTACAGAAAACCTCAGAAGTTTAACACAAATCTCTAATCTACAAGCATTCACATCAGAGCTTCCTGCAGCATTTTCATTTCATCAAATCATAAGAAAGGAACCCAAACCCAGGAGGGACCAAGAAACAGAGAGGAAGCAGAGTCCAAGGTTCCATTTGAGTATCAAAGCTCACAAATGGGTTAAAAGGATGGATCCTGGGAAGCATTTTTTGTAGTGCTTGGGTGTAAAGCAGAGATAAAGCTTGGGATCCTAAGTACAAACTGAGGACTCCCCTTTCCTGGCAGAGCACCAAACCAGCAGATTTGTAACTTCCAGCATCTTTTCATCACTGTGGAAACCTGGATTCCACCAGATGAGGCTTCCTGCTGAAACTGTTGTCATTTTCTTGGAGGCTCTGGAAGCAGACCCAAAAGCCTCTTCAGTGTGGACAGGAAGACTGGGGAAGGTGGTGAAGGAATAACTCATGAAAAAAAGAAAAGCATGGAAAGCAAACAGGAATTTCTTAGTTAAAGCCTTGTTCCAAGTGCAGAGTCAGATTTTCTTACCTGAATTTTGGAGAAGCAGCAACTCCCATTCTTTCTGCTTTCCTGGGAGACAAAGAGGACTCTGGTCAAGGAGTGGAGGTTGGTGCTGCATTTGTGCCAGGATGTGGCAGGGAATGTCCTCCTGCTCCAGCTCAGTTCCAGCCTTACCTCAGAAGGTGATTCCTCATTCACCAGGGAAGTGTCACTGGAGGACACCAAGTGTCTTCCCCAGGGAGTGATCTGGAGGACTCTCCCCAGCGGGAAGTGATCCATTGGGATGAAGGGATGTGCATGAGCCTGACAGCATCTCCCAGCTGGTCACACTTGCAGGATTCTTTTTTTTTTTTTTAAGGACTGAGAAGCTTTGGCAGCCAGCGGTGCCTATAAAATCCCTGTTACACAGGGCAGGGAAATGGGAAGGACACGCTGCCACCTTCACTGTGCCCTTCAGTGTAAATCACAAACCTCAAGAGCTGCTTCTTCAAAAATTCCAACTGGTTTTTCTCCCTTCATTTTGATTTCCAGTGGCTCAAGCAAACGAGCCTGGGGCTGGCAGTGAGCGCTGTGCTTTTTGGAGCAGGATGAGGAAAGCCTTTGTCCTGGCTCTGGAGGGCAGCCAGAGCAGAGGCCTCTGCAAGGAAAGACATGTGCCTGAAGAAGGCAATATTTTGTCATATTTTCCGCCTTTTGGTTAGTGTCCAATATCACATCTCAGGTCACCTGGTGTAGACAATGAAAAAGAAAATCCCACAAACGCTGGGAATAGTTGCAGAAGGTCAGAAAGAAAAATAGAGGGGTGGGGGAGGAAATCAATTTTCCAAAAATAAAACCTTTCTCAAAAAGTGTATCCAAACAGCCAGAACTCAGCACTGTGAATAAAATTATCAGACCCAATAAATATTTTATGCTGCCATTCTATTTGCCAAAAAAGAAGTTAATTTCTGAAGCAAAGTTGCTCTTTTTTTCATCTTTATTTTTAAACCCTTAATATAATGACTGAATGACTAATACGAACTTGATAAATTTTTAAAAGCTTTCTTTGGGAAAAAAAAAAATAATAATTTAAAGCTGAACTTGAGCAAGAGACCACAGGGAAGTGTCTAATCTTTAGTCGGACGCCTGGCACAGCCCCGCTCCGGCCGGTGCCAGCATTGCATTCTGACAGAACAAGTGTTGCATGAGATGTGAAGGATGACTCCGGTCTGCCGAAAAACCCTGGAGCAGGTGTTCCTCATCCTCATTTGCAATGGAGCATGGCCCCTGGCTCAGTGAGCTGGAGCAAATGCGCTGGCAGGCCCCATCATGTACCTGCGTGCTGAGATGCACTAATGATAATGGATGCAGGCCTATTAACCAGCCCATTTGTAATGGCACACAAGGCTGATTGCTCGGGGAGTGAGTCAGCGCCTTTCCAAGGGGAGCGCGGCATGCCGGGAACCCGTGATCCTCTGAGCATCCCTCCTGCTCGCCTGGCCCACGGCTCTGCTAGTCCTTATTTAATGCTACAAATGAATACATGATCTGCTACACGATCACACACCCAGATAAGGCGCCGTGGGCAGCGCTCGGGCTGCGGATCGGTGCCGGACCCGCGCGGGTTTGAGCGGTTCCCTGGTTGGGCTGGGCTTAGTCTGAGAAGCGCCAACTCCACGGAAGAGTCAAGGGTCCAACAAGCACGCCTAAGCTTGGGGATTTGCAGAAAGCTGCTGCTGATCTTCGAGTGAATATTTTGGCGCATCTAGGGAAAAACATTCCGCTCGGCTTCTACCCTTCGTTGCCCGGCTTTCCTTGGGAGGGAAAATCCTCCAAGAATAACCTTTAAAAACACACACCAGAGCTTAATCGAGGTTTGTGTTGTTCTTAAATAACTCCTCTGATGCGTTTTATATAAGCGACTCTTGCTGAAAAGCCAGTTCCCCGTTTGTGGAATAATGAGGCGGCTCAGAATGGACGCTCCTGTAAAAAGCACTCGTTAATAAATGGATCACATTACTTGTAGGTACTCCATTCCAGAGCCAGCTTAGTTAAACAGGCCTTGTCAGGCCAGAACATTGCAGTCAGCAGAGCACACTGTAATTATTATTGTAAACTCAAGGCCTGGATTTGCTGTGTTCTTGGCAAACCCCAATAAGCTGCTTACACTGCCGGTGCTGCAGCAGCTCTTTGGATTCCTCTGCAAAATGTGCAAAAGGGTTCTTTTGTTACTTCTTTTTTTTTTTTTTTTTTTTGCAAAAAGAGGTGGTTTGGTTGCCAATCTGGTCTAGCAGGCAAATCTCTCCAATAATTTTCCTTAATAAAACACCCAGCAGACAACACATGGAAATTTATGAGAAAGATCAGCTCTTACCTGAAGTTCTAACAACTACTTTGTATTAATGCAGTTCCCTGTGCAATGCTTCACAAATGAAGCTGTGTAAGCAGAAAAAAAAAAAAGACAATTTGTGCACATAAATTCCTGCATCAAAATTATCTGGCCTGTTCTGGTGGCTTTATACCACTCCAATAATACAAACAGCAAGAAACAAAGCTTAAAAGTTGATTTAATTAATTATCTGAATATCTTTATATCTAAAAGCAATTATATCCCATCAGCTAGATTGGATCCAATGTGCCTAATTTTTTTCTGCTTTTCCATTGGCAGTCAAAGATTTGAGTTTGAATCACCATTCAGCCAAAAAAAAAAGAAAGAAAGCAACCAAAAACCAACTAATATAATAGAAGTCTATACACACCACACATTCACCACAGTGGTCAGGTAAAGGCTGCAAATAAATGTCCACATAGATATAAGCAAGAGAAAATCATATTGTGGGAAATTGGGTCTGCGGACCCAGGAAATATCCTGTCTATAGACTTCATCAAGAATGTGAGAGGAATGAGGGACTTGGCTATTAAATGCAACATCCCAATACTCACAATTATCTGTATAAAATTTTGCTGTTCTGATTTTG